TATGACTTTAAAAAGAGTTCACAAATAAAGAATCCAAATAGTTCACAAATATATTTTGCATAGACAAAATTGAAGACAACACCCAGATTATATTTTCTGCAGCCAAAGAATCCAAAGACATTCATTAAACTTAATTGCTAGAACATGAACCAAAATTGACGTTACAACAGATGCCACAGAGAGAACGAATTTTACACCAATATTGAAATAAGTTGAATTGAAAACAACTCTAATTATAAATCATTATTCTAAACATGAAGATTAAATAGGGATAGAGGGAGTATTTTTGTACCCATAGATATCACGTGCCTTAGAAAATTGAGAATAAACATTAGATAAAACACTGAAAAAATTAAATTATGGATGTATAAATTTAAAATGTAATTTTCCAATTATCAAACCATTATCTGGTAACTTTCTTCCACTAAAGCACACATATATGCCAATTATAAAACACCACCCTTTTAAAAAAAACACTTACCTGAATTTTTCCAGCTCCACCAAGAGGCGAGACACACTATGCGCACTAATGTTCTTCTCAACATGTCCATGACTGCAAACTTGACTCGTCGCACCTGCTAATATGAAAAACATTTTAGTATACAAACACAACAGAATGACCATTAATATAAAGGCAAAGACAGCAAAGGAAGTGATGGATATTGATTGCAAAGGAAAAAAACATATACCACTGAATGGTCTTCATTTAATGCACCTTAACAATACCCATAGCAAAAACCAGGATTTTAACTATTCGGTGGCATAATCACTCAACCCCCGGCCTTCTTAGCAAAACTATCTAGCGATATATATGTGTGTATAGGGGAAAAAATAAGAAAGGAAGGAGGAGAACACGTGAAACACTTGGAAGGTGAAAAAAATGTGGCAAAAGAAACACTGAAAAAATTTAGAGGAAACATGTTATAGGTCGTTGCAGCTGAACATTTCATCAGATGTCTCCCATAACCCTCATGGCAGGGGAACTCTATTATAAAATACGCATTCAATATCTCCCAAAAATTAAAAATTCATAATAATGCAAAATTAAGAACACATCATATTTTAAGACTCCAAAATTAGAGCATGAAGTATGACTTGACATTTAAAATGCAAAAGTAATATCTTTAAAAGTGAAAGTTTAATGACTAACTAATATGAGGTGGATTAAATGGATTAAAATAAATGAACTCACGTCTTCCTTTTGTGAAACACCTTTGATTTGTGAAATTAGCTACTCATAATATGAGAGTATCAATATGAAATTGATATGAAAAAATGAAAAAAAGAAGTGGATCTATGA